AGAAAAATACCAGTATATATCCATGGGTTGATTAATATTGCTAAAAGCTAGGCGAAAGAAAAAACGAAAATCGTGAGAAATACACGTTTGGCTTGGTGCTCTGCATTTTCTTTTTTGGGTTGGACGTGTATTTTTTTTTTTCCTTCCAACAAAAAATGTTTTTTTTTTCCTAGTATTTGGATGATAATTTCAGTAAGCACTTACTTCCTCAATTCTCACTCCCTTCAACTTGTTGGTTTTCCTGCAGATCCTGACTACATTGTAGAGCTTGTTCTTCTGCACAATAAATGCAAACAGAAACATCATCAGTTCTTGTTTTGGGGAGACATCATTCCCATGCATCGATCGTTTTATGTCTGACATGCATGTTCGGTTTACTCTTTTCCCATGACCTATTTTATCTCTTCTCTACCATATCACAGTAGAAACTGGTGATCGATAATCTTATCTGCCAAATCCCGCCAGACCAGAATGGGCATAACATTATCTATCACAACACAAGCAATCCTTTTCATATGTTTCATTGTTCAGTAAAAAATAAACTTATCATATATGTATTTTTGTTAATTTTTAACTTATTTGAATTTTATGTCTCTGTATTGTTACACTGAGTCTGTGATATGATGTGTGTTTTTTTGTCCTGCCAGTGATATGACATGTCTCTCGATTTTATTCACTTACTCGTTACCACATTTACATTTTGAAAAGTGAAAGGCAGGTTCCATTGACAATCTGCTTAAGGGGTATATATAAAAATTACAACAATTTTTAGCTCTCTGGCTTTTATAGGGTTTAGGGTTAGTGATAATCTTGGTCATGCAACAACTTGAATTGGTGGATATAATTATATAAGGTCTTTAATAAAAAGACAGCCCTATAATTTGTTGTCTGAATTAGGGCTTCAAGAACTTAGGTTCATTGAAGGGAATTCTACACAACATCATCGCAGGCAAGTCAAGCATTTCGACATCACTCCTTCCACCTACCATCATTAGATATCCATTATTTCTTCACTTCTAGGTTCTTCAGTTCACGCCTAGAACATGTGGGGTCACACAAGATATTTTCGAAGAAAAATTACTCTCTCCTGGACTACACATGTTTTCCAGATTCAAACTTAGATCACGATCATATAGAGATTATGAGAACCTGAACTAAATTCAAAAATCTCATTTCTTAGCTAGTAGCTAAATTCTATTCGTCTGTGTTTTGATGCTTTGGGGACAATCTGCATCCTTGTTTGCCATCAAAGTTTTTATCAGCACCGAAAAAGAAAAAGAAAAAAAAAAAGAGGACCGTACGTTGCTTGGGCTAGTAGCTACGGTAGTAGATAATAGTTAAGACTCCACCAGTTTGAAATTGGAGGATTAGACAATATTAGTTCATCGGCAATGGTTATGAGTCATGACTTTTTCTCATAGGATGAGAACCATTACACTCGGAAAACCACCAGCATGTCCCTCCTCCACCTTAGTTAGGCCCATTTGTAAAAATTGATAGATAGTGCTCTAGATCAACGTGAAACGCAAACCATATGTTACTATAAATCCCAACAAGATTACTATATATAACCAAATCTTAGCGGCCTAATTGTGTTTACCTAGCTAGTAGCCAAAGGCAACTGCAGCTCCTCATGATCAACTGGTCCCAAATCTCAGACTTAGCTATATTAGCTATGTGGTTAGAATAAGATGATTTAATTAGATACGTTCTGATACTAGTGTTGGATGTTCATATGCAAACAAGGAGGGTCGGTCGGTAATATATCTAGCTTTTTTTTAGAGTAATGCTAGGGAGATTAAATTTATAAATAAAATTTTGTAAACGAAATAATATGGAAGTTGATGATTGAATTATTACTTAACCGTTGAGAAACACGCTCATTTCTATTCGTGACATATCATTTAGTTTTCATATTATATCTACAAATTTTATCTCCCTAACATTACTTTTTTTTTTATTTTTTTTATCACTACATCTAGCTATTTATATACTAGTATTTAGGGGAATGGACTTTGTCAACCCTTGTGCGTAGAAAATGCTTCCATTTCTCTATTTTCTTAATTTACCCTTATTGAAAGAAATATTTTATATATATATATATATATATATATATATATATATAAGGATAAACAAGAATTTTCTAATAAAATAAAAATAAAAATAAAAATAAAAATAGTACAATTTTCTCACAACTTTCTCTTCCTTAACGATAAATATATACAAAATCAGCAAGTTTCTCACTTCTCTTCTCTTCCTTTGCACCCTTGATTGTTTTGTCCTTTGAGTCCTCATTGCTCTATAAAATTTACAGATAAAGAAAACAAGAAGAAATACAACAGTACAATGGGAAAAAAAAAGTGCAAAAATTATTTTCCTATATAAAACAGCTCGCTCTCCTCATGCATTAGCTACCATACTAGCATCTATAACATGTGTGAGGATTTCTTGTATTTATATATGTATGGTTAGACTAATTGTCGATTCGTCATATGTAGCTGTATTCAAATATGATAGGGCTTATGTTTGATTAATTCAGCTGGGCCATTACATATCATTCTTGGAAGATGGTCTCAGATAAATGGGGAGTCTTGTCTAACTTCACATGGCTGCTGAGTCTGCTGTGCTGTATATATGTAGAGTATAGAAGATCATTGATCGGCCGATGAATTCCAAGGATCCAATTAACTTGTGATTTTGTGGATGCCATCTAATTATTCTCTGCCCCTTAATAAGTGACAAGAAACTGTATCCTACTTACCCCTATTTGATGGAAATCCGTGACATATTGTTTAATGGAATTTCACTCGAAGGAATAAAATAAGTTAGACTAGTAGTAATATAGTTACTAGCTTCTAATTTACACTCTTATTTGTAAGATCTTGTGCGATCGGTCATACAACTTACATACTTTTCGAGTCGAGTTAATAACAAATCTAAATATAACACAAAGTAATAAACATGCCATGTTAGTGTGAACTCATATCACACAATTAAATATGTAACCTAGCCTGTAACTCGATGGTTGTAAAGTAATACATAACATCCTAAACCAATATATGGATATTCACCAATATTCTGTTACTTTTTAATATAATATTTACTACCAACTAATACTTTCGCTAGGCTCAACTCACATGAATGACAAATATAACAATGTATAATATTTGTATTGAGTTGCTAACTAGGATTTACCTCCTTAATTGAGATGATTTTTTTTTTTTGGGTATTTTCGAGCTCAACGAGCATGGCTGGAGAAGACCTCAAGCAATTGCCATAAGTTGGACCTCTCAGCTCCCTCACTTTTCTTTGTCTACGTTAAGTATGGCTGAAGCATAAGGACTCGTTTGGAAAATGTATTTAAATGATTGAAAGTGTTTTTAGATAAAATGTTTTTGGAATCAATCATTCATAAAAATACAAGTTAATCCTCCAAAACACTTAAGTCATTTAAAAGCATTTTCTCTAAAAACGTTTTCAATCATTTAAAAGCACTTCCCAACGAGTTCTAAGTTGTTCTCATTTAGTTCTTTTTGGGTTGTGTTTTAATACAGATAATCAGTTTGGATAAGATAATTCATTATTGGAGGAAGAAGTTGATGACAACTTTCAAATGTCATCTGTTGAACGAACAAAATGGAGTAGTCATGGGGGAGTTCTTTTTTAATCCTACCATCATGACTGATGGGAAATTTTTAGTTGTAACGGAAATACAAATGGTACACTACGTATTTTTATGTAAGTGATGGAAAATTTTAATTTTTAAGTTATTAATCTTTTAACACACATAACACATTATTTATATAAGGACACGTGGTGTACTACCTCGTATGATGATCACACTAAAAAATCTCTGCCTGACTGACCCTCCGGATTACAAATCCAAAAGGGCCCAATCAAAAACAATATTATGGGCCGGGCTTGACAACCCAATGAGGGTTCAATTTAGATACTTCAAATAGGCTTAGAAGGATCAACATTTTATTAAAGAAAAACTAATGAAAATAATTGGAAAACTTTGAGTTTTAATGATAAGAACAAAATAAAGGGTAAACTGAATAATACCATGATTGACTTTTTAGTGTAAAAATATAATTTTTCGTTAAAATAAATAATACCGAGAGCTTTTCATTAAAATTTCATTTTATTAAGCCACTGATCTGACCGTAATGGAAAAGTAATCAGATCGAAGCCAATTATCAATCATGGTCCAAAGATATTAGATTGGTTGAAAAAGACAAGTTAAATATTAGTTGCCACACCAAATAGAATTTAGTTGTACTAAAAGCTGAAGAATAAATGGTAGCCTTTCTTCTTTTTTTTGTTTTTTTTTTTTTTTTTTTTTGTTTTGTTTGAACAACTGGTAGTCTTGCAGAAAGAAATTGAATTATTATTATTAATACTAACAGATGCTTACACAAGTGTGTCCAAATAATTTATTTTTATTGAGTGATTAGTTTTTAAAATTAAAAAAAAAATTCAATTATGAAAAACTAACAATGATGGGGTAGTTTCTACCTTCTTCTGTCGTAGGAATATTTTTTATTTACTTAATTTTAATCTTTAAATAGGATATGTATGTTTTTTAGTTTTGATTGACAAACAGAATAGATAGTTTAGAAACTGAATTATTTTTCCAAATACAGTAGTTGAAAGTTTGGCGTTATAGCACTACACTATAAAGTATAAAGTATAAACAACAAAAATGAAACTATACAAAGGTCCCATCGACTAAAGTTGTCTTGATGATTTCAAGTACACGTACCAAAGCATTATTAGTTTGGACTTCTACAATGGTATAGAACTTTTGTGCACGGATTTTGCACTTGTATCTATATCGATAATATAAACATTACCTCATTGATTTGTTATCTACCAATATTATCTATCGAATTTTTGTGAATGAATTTTGTGTTGATACTATTGATATATGTATCAATGATTTTGATAATATGCATGTTTTGTTGTTGATATGTTGTTTACCAAAGATCATCAGTTGATTATCGGCTCTAAAACATGTATTATTTAGACAAATCTAGATTGAAATACAATAAATACTAGGAAGAAAGCTTAGAATCACAGCCGAAGATTCAAGTCCAGCTGCTTATTATGTACATGTGATTCTTGTCGTGGCAATTGATGATCCACCCGGAAACTTCCGGGCCAAATATTATTCATGGTTTCTTCAAGCATGAAGGGTGTCCATGCCATCCCAAAACCTGCGGCGGCGTCACTAAATCTCGCCACCATTGACGACCCATCAGACCTGCTGCTAGGTTTCTGCACGAGTGAATGAGGCTGGACGCCAAGTGACCTAGCTGCTGCAGCCACAGGGCTGAACGGAAACCCCATTGCTGACATCATCTTTTTGTGAGAGTGATACCTTTTGGCAGCTCCCCTCTCTCTCTTGTGTGCGTTTTGATGGCCTCCCAAGGCTTGAGAACTGTAAAATTTCCTCAGACAAAAGTTGCATGAGAAAACTTTTTTGCTATTTGAGGGTTTTGGTGACGGAAAATCGGCGTCGACTTCCGCCGCGGATGGCTCGTTGGAGTTGAGGCTTAAACTCAACCAGTCTCCCAAATTATCATCTTCATGATCATCAGCTAATCTTTCATCATTACCTTCTGTAATCTCATCATTTGCTTCCTGTGCTTCTGCTTCTCTTTCTTGCTCCCTTTTGGGAATCATTGCAAACCCTAAATAAAACTCAATTTAAACGGTATAAGAAATGGAGAGTTTGGGATAGAGGGTTGAAGAAACTGGGGAGCTTGAACTTAAATAAGGGATGTGTGATGAAAAAGAAGGAAGTTAAGTTAGTGTAGAAACAGCAGACGTGAACGTACGACATTAGCTCAACTTAAAGTATAACAATGCTTGTATAAAAAAATATAAAAAAAAAAAAATATTCTAAACAGTCCAGAAAGGGAATATGATAATGGAGGGGATGAAGTGGCATTGGATATTACTAAAATATTTTTATCTCAAATTTGTGTGGTGCTCCCGTTTTGTGATGCTTGAAACTTTTTAGGGGACCAGTTGTGCTCAAGTCATGTATAATTGTATTGGCCATTCAAAGCTTACGACTCCTTAGTAGCATCAATATAATTTGATTCCATATGGATGAATTAATCACAAACACTTGAAACTACCGAAAATGCCACTAAAAGCATATAGGTAAACATTTCCAAAGTGCTTCTAGTGATGGAAGGTTGAAATCAAAAAGCACTTTTCGGTAAATGTTGCTTAGAGGACACAGGCAAGTCGGAGTTCTTATATACAAGCCCAGAACTGTACATCCTTTTGAACCCATACTGCAGATTTAAAGCCTCCAGCATATGTTTATGGAGCCTTGTTTTCAGCTCCCCTAGTAATCAAGAATTTATGTTTGTTAGATTTAATATTAGGTGTTGAATTAAAAATTAAAAGTATATTTATTTGTTTTTTACTTTAATTTCAAATGAAAGAATGAATGATCATGAATTCTTTAATTACCAGATAACTAAGACAACATTTCAGTATGTTTATGTGCTGGACTCTCTGCAGATTATGGACCACTTCCTCGATGTGTCGCGCAAAATTAAATTGGTCTTGCCAGAGGTTAGATGTAAATTAAATACAACTTACAGAGAGAATGAGATTGATCTGTGTGCTGCAATAAAATTAAGTCTTGCAGACCCAACAGTCATTAACATGTGATGTTTGTCCAGATAGTAGGGGGAAAAGGTTGGGATAGCAAATCAATCAATTGAGTTATTAATGAATATCGTTAAGATTTATTTAATATGATATCATTATAATATAAATGTGAGATTAATAGTGGTGATGATGATGGAAAGTGAAATCAAACAAAATAGGTCATAATGGTCCCTGGTCTATCCTGCTTTTGTTCTTCTTGTTATTATAACAGGATGCTGTTGTGTTCTAAATCCAAACTCTTTTTCACTCCAGACCTGGACTCATTTTTCCCTTCATCCCTCTTTTTTCCGTGTAGTCTTCACTTCTCCTCTTTATTGTATCAACTTTTCTTCAGCTTTATCTTATATTTTAAAGTTTTCTTGTTACAATGTACGTCATATTCTAGATGTTGAGTTTGTGTAATGTTTTTAGTTCTCTCTATTGAATTTAGAATCTTTCAATTTTATACAAAATATTCCAATCTCTCATGTTCTGATTCCAAATTACCTATATATATATGAGAAACTCTCACACCCATAAAATTCTTGCCCCGCTACTAATTTGGAGATGCTATTATCATCAATAATTTCGTATACACATGATACTGCAATGCAAACCTGCAGTGGTAGCTTTATGAAGAGTTTGGGAGGACCCAGTAATATATATACGCTAGCCTTCATGCACGTTCTCACGCATCTGCAAAAAATATTTTTTGAATCATGACATGTTACCGGCAACTTACATTTTTCAAATGTATTTATATGCGTGAATTGACAAAAGGAAGTCAAATATTTGAAGTAAATGAATAATCTTAGATCATGCTAGAAAAAAAAACCTCTCACAAACCAATCAAAGCAGCTAATTCACATAATAAAATCGGTTTTTCAATTTTCATCTACATTCTATTGAATTTACATTAAGAATAAAGACAATAATATTTAATAAACAACTTATTGAATTACATTATTACTAGCTCATTGTGAAGTTAAGCCCACCCCACCCTCTTAGTGCAGATATATTGTTTGTTCAAAAAAAAAAACAATCATTTGACAATTAATTTAATCATATTATTATGCACGAAAGACATTTTTTATAACCGGCATTACACGTCTCTTAAGATGTTTTGAACGTGTTTAAAAATAAAGAAAATAATATTTAATAAACAATTGATTGAATCTTATTATTGTCTATTGTGAGGTACTAATTAAAAAAATTGTACAAAAAGAATTAATTATTAAAAATACTATTAAAATGACGAAAATACACCAATATTATTTTGGGTTACTTTTGAAATTTTTTGGTGTGGAGGCCTTTTTATCCAAAATTTGTTCGCTTTATATACAAAGATCGGTGGGATGTCTATTTTCCCAATTGGGGATTCCGAGGATCATTGTTGGATGTATCACGTACTAGTAGTGGGCTATGTGTACGCATATATACATATGCACAGTAGGAGCCGAGAAACCACGACCACATAATTCTTAAAAAATCAAATCAGAATCTTGATGCTCATCCAAAAATCTTCATTGTAAAAGGATTAAATTAAAAAATATTTTTTTTGGTGGAGTTGGAATGATGAGTCGGATCGTCTGTGTGCTTGAAGATTGGATTTGTTTGGCCACAATGCTGTTTGGCTTTTGCCCTTTAATCATCAAGCAAAAGAATTGTTTTCTAATTCAATCCAAAGCAAGAAAGGGAAATATCAAAAGGAAAACTAATGAAAATAACTTAAAAATTTTAAGTTTTAACGATAAGGACAAAATAAAAAGTAAAGTAAATATGACCAAGATTGACTTTTTGATGTAAAAATATGATTTTTCGTTAAAGTAAACAGTACCAGAAGTTTTTTTGTTAAAGTTTCCAAAATCAAATGAATAACAGTAAATTTTTAATTTCGAATTGGGTTATTCATTTATCGCCTGTGAGATCAGAACTCATGAGACTGCGTTTTTCTTTGAAATGCAATGATGCCAGATTAATTTTTTCCATCTATCAAGAACAAATTGAAAAAATTCAGTCTTGACTACACTAGTTCATCAAGCTAAGACACAAATAATCTGTACGGGACCATAAACAAGAATCAGTGCTGGCATGTTACGTACTGGGTATGAGTATGAGAAGAAGGGGAATCATATTCGAATTTCTGATTACCCGCATTTACTAACACACAAGGAATTAAAAAAGATGCGTTCCACCTTAAAATCAGTAATCCAATACCCTCAAGATCTGAATTGTATCAACTGATGGGCGTAAGTAAACATGCGATGAGAGGAAAACAGAGAAGAGCAATTTCTCAACAAAGTTCAAATGCATAGTATATGGACCAACCAACATGGATTTCACCTGATTCATAAATGAGGTTGGATTTTCGCCTACAAACTACCACACCCTTTTGGAGAGAGGTTACTCTTTCATTCTATAAGCTAGTGTAAAATCTACAAGATTATAGCAAAACAAATGCAGCTTCGGGGGAAGACCAATTGCCCCCTTTATGTCATGTATTAGATTTCAATTTGGATCCATTAATTTCGATAGCAATAAATAACAGTAAAACAACACTGTTAGTCAGATCAGGAAATAGTCATATGATGTTGTAATTCTGAACATAAAAGCCTACACAAGTCAAATGGCTTATAAGAAAATGAACACGCCTTATAGCAACAATGTTGAAACTAGAAATTATCCACTACAATGAGAAATTACATCCTACACCCACCTTATCAAACATAAGGAGTACAGAATGCTTCCACTCTCAGGATCCACGTAATAAAGCAACAACTGCTGCTGTGTCGATCCAACGTTCAAGAACCTACAACATTGCACCCAGAAGACCAATAAGCTGAGATGCAAATCTAAACAGACACTACTCACACCGAAAGACAACCCCACAAGCATTTCACTTGAGATGGCTTATAATAATAATAGATTAGATGGATCGTTAAAAATATAGCAGCCACAATTCTGTCCAAAATATTGGAATTTGGACGAAGAATAACACCTATACGGAAGCTTTCATTATCCACCACCAAAAAGGATAAAGCACAAGGATGAAATGCCAAATGTTACCGAGAATCATAGTATCACATCTAGAAACTCCACAATTAATCAACTTCTATTGGGTTCAGAAACAACTATAAGCGTTATTTTCGATTGAAGAACCACTGCATTGCATACCCAAGTTCAAAGCTCCCATCTTTGCTCTATTTTCGATTGAAATTCTTATCATTACACTCCCATTTCTCAAAATCTAACACGTAGATAACCGGAAAAAACAATAAGATCGAAAAATCCATACAAATCAATAAGCTAGTGCTGAGTATCATGAATCACAAGCTTCCCATTAAACAAACAGCTGACAAGGCATTGCATACAAAAGATACTCAAAGTTCCCATATTTTTCTCTTTCAATTAAAACTCCTTATCATTACACTTCCATTTCACCAAATCTCACACACAGATGACAAGTAATTCAATGAAATTTGAAAGGGGAAAAATGTCAGTACAAGACGCACCGCAGAAAGAGAGAAACTACTACGAGGGATCAATGGAGGTACCCTGAGACAGCTCGCAGCAATGCCGCGCTTCGACGGAGATGTGGCTTGTGAGACGAGCCGAAGCCAGGGCGCTGTGCAATGGCATCAGCGACTGCGCGCAAGCTAATTGGCCCGCATTGACTGGGAGGGAGAAGAGGGTGCGGCGGGAGTTGCTGCCGAGGAGATTACGAAGCGGAGCGCGAGGGAGAGATGAGATCGACGGAGACGACCGGAATGTCGAAGCTCTTGCGGTTGAGATCAGAGACCTTGACAACGACGACCCAGATCGCCACGCCATACCTTTGCTTGCTGGAAATTTAGGAATTGGGGATTGGATTGGAAGCAAGGGTTTTAGGGCATTTCGATTTAAACCCTGGAACCGAAGAAGTTGTCTTTCCAATTGCAAAATCATTGGGCCTGTTTTACATTTGGTCTCTTCAAGTTCTGGTCCAATATTCGGTTTTGGCCCATTGAGCGCGCCCTTTAAACCATGGTTTCCATCTAACAGAAACATGCCACGACTTACAGCCAAAGGAAAACCCGACTAGTATCACTTACGCTTCCAAAACTTTAAGTCTTTAAATGAATACAACTCTGAAGTTTGACATTTCCAACTGGTTCTAGATCTTCCGTATCCGAAAACTGTACGTGCGTTAGTCAAATTGAACGTATACTTTTGCTTTCAAAGTAGTCAACACAAATCAAAACCAGAAAAATAGTTGGAGTAACAGCTTTCTTGAGAATGTTCAGTAGCATGACATACATATAGAGAGAAGCAAACTACATCAACAAGCCTAACTAAAAAAGTTGAAAACAATCCTGTACATCTCTCCTAGAAAACCAGCTCAATCGACAATCGAATCAAGAAACGGGCTCACAAACAAAATGAACATTAGTGAGTTTAGCCTTGATCTACGGTTAAAATGCAATGCTTACCCACCTAAAATACACTCAGCCACCCATCCTAATCAAATGCAAAGAACTAATCTACGACTTGGATTTGACGACCAACTAACTTCCGATACAAGACAATTTTGGTATTTTCCAGTTCTAGATTCTAAAATCCAAAACGCAGACTGTGTTGTTGGCAAAACATGCAGCAAGTTTGTCGCCTTCCTTGTTCCAGCAGACTTCAAATATACCGCCACTTCCAGTGTACGTTTTCACAATCTTGCCTTCCTTCAGTGACCATATATGCATCGATTTATCAAGAGATCCACTGGCCAAATACTCACCGTTTGGGCTAAAAGCAACAGAATACACAGGTTCCCTGTTGATTCAATTTGAATGTATCAATACAGAATGAAGTAACGAAATTTTACCAAGCTTCGAACACCATACGGTTTGTTTAAATCCAGTACCTGTGTCCATCCAAGCTGCAGATAAGTTTTCCTTGTTCCACATCCCATAGCTTCACAGTGGAGTCGAATGAAGCACTGCACAAGAAGCACAATCACATACAACTTGTAACCATAACACAAAGATTCAGTGTATTTTCTCCGCCGAAAGTATTGAGTGTACTTTCTCAGCAGAGTATGCATGCAGAATGAAGTGCAAGTTTGAATCCTATCAAGAAATAATATTTCTGCATAAAGACAACAGCGCTTAGGCGTGAAACAGAAACCCACAAATGCAACAACATGAATACAAAAGAGCAGTGGCTTAAAATACAGTTCTCGCTGCACCACAGGGTAAACGGCAATAAGAAGTTTGACAATAACTTGTTAGCACAGAATGAATCAGGAGAATTACCATCCAACCAGGTTTTACACAGGTAATAAATCATTTTCTGTCTTTGTACAAAATTTCAACTGCCAACATTAAGCTTTTCTTGAAAAATATGAAAACCATGCAAAAGCTATTTATTGAAACAATTTGCAACTTAACTGAAATAATAAAAGAAGACATGGTAACCGCAATGCACACAATACAGTATCTCACTTCATCTAAGAAGCACTATACCTTGCCAGAACTAACTGTTGGTTAGGGTTGTTTGTTCCTGGCCCAGTCGGACTCCACCTGATAGTGTATATCTCCTGCAATCCAAATTTTCAACGCTTCTAAGATTCTGCAATAGTAAATTCTAACAGACATAATAGGAAAATTAAACTTGAATGACAATCTGAGGAATACCTTAGAATGCTCTCTCAAATCATGAACATACTTTTCCTGCTTCATGCTCCATATCTACACCATAATTTCACATGAGTTGCAAATTCAATAGTCTTATCAATGGAAAACAATGAACCAGCTGAAACTGATCCAATTAATTGAATGGAAAATAATGAACCAACTGAAACTGATCCAATTAATTGAAAATGGCTATATTATACTGAATAGGGATAAGATGTACAAAAGCAGAATGATATATATATATATGAATTATTGGGCTCAAACTTCTAATCTAGCAGTAAACGAGATTGGTTTAATCAATCCTATTGTTCCCATGTTCCGGAGTATACATATGACGCTAACCCCATACCAGGTCTGTGTTCAACTTCAGTACCTATCTTTGATTATATACAAGTATAGACTAAAAATATTAATGCAAACAAGTATCTTACTGGACAAAAAATGGAACTACTTGACTACAAATTGAGCAGGTAGCACAGATAACCTTTGCACTGATATCGTCAGAACATGAAGCCAACAATGAACCTGTTGGATCCCATTTAACACAATTAACTTCTCCCTGAACAGCGAAAATCCATTGATTAGCCACAAAAACTGATACTATCAAGTACAATTGTAAATTATAAAGTTTATCGTTCGCAAACATGCAAATTTTTGCAGATGTTCAAAACAAGTGAAACCATTTTTGCTACCTGAGAAAATTCCAGTAACTACAACCAGACATGTTCAAATAAACTGGTAAGCTCAGGGTTTTCCAGTTGACAAAATCAAATGCAGGTGTGTAAGCTTTAGGGAAATAAAACAGCTACATTCTAGAATGGAAGGCTGGATTACCAAGACCCTCTCAAATCCATATTCAACCAGACGAGGACCAGTTAACCAAGATTTTCTCAAATGAAGTTGAACATTAACATGATCAGCATCAAGACAATATATCTCCGACTAGAATTGGGTGTACCTAGATCTTCAACAATCTAAACAACACAAAACTATCTGCAGCCTCTACAGGAAAAGAGTAGAGTATACATAAACAACGATAATAAGAAAAAAATGCTAAAAACATAATTAACCTCGGGTTTAATCTAGAGCAACTAAATGCTTGAGAATACCTGATGTCCTGCAAAAGTTTTAATAGGGTGGTTTTCCCCAATCTTGCAGACATATATCATATTGTCTGTTGAGCTCATTGCAAAGGATACATTGTTGCGCCAATCAACATCGAGTGTTGGACCTAAATGACAGAAAATAATCGTCAAAATCCCGACACAACCACTTTTATACTGTCTGTTCTGTGAAAATAACACACCAGAATGAAATTCGAACTGCTGTTTTGATTGCTCTGCCTTTACATCCCACACAATTGCAGTTTTATCACAGCTTCCTGTAAGAAGATAATCTCCCTTTTTGTTCCACTTTAGTGAGAATATAGGCCCTTTATGTTTGCTCAAAGTACTAATTAATTCACCTGGGCAAAGATACCACACAGAATATATGTTCTAAAAACTTCCAAAATGATGCAGAAAAGTAAACAAGAATCATAAATCAAATGGAACAGAAAAACCAGAAAAACAATCATCTGCTTACCATTTGTACCCCAAATTCTTGCTTGCCCATCATACGATCCGGTTGCAAGCATTGTTCCCTCTCCCTGAATAAGTGAAAGGTTTGTTTGCGTAAACACAAAAGAAAAAAAAATTCTAGAAGAAAAGAAAAAGAAAATACAAGAGGCTCTTGCAGTTTAGATGCTTTTGGAATAAAGAAAACAAGTTTTTTTCTTGATGAGTGAAACTCGCAAGAGCACGTAACAAAGACCATCCGCATTGCATGTAATCAATTACAAGAAAATTTGATAGGCCAATTATCACAAAATAAATCCACAATAACAGAGCTCACATTCCAATCAAGTGTCGTCACATCTTTGCTCTTTTCATTTGTTCTACCCTTAACATGCTTCAGCACCAACACATTTGAGGAGCCATTTTGTGAACTAAATCTGGAGCTTCCATCAGCAATGGTCCAAATACGAGCAGTTGAATCTCCAGACCTGGAAGGTGATTAATTAAAAGTGACAAGAGTAAGGGATTGAAAAAATAATGTGGAAAGAAGAGATCTTTCAAAATTTGCCACTGGTATAGTAATCCTAACAAAGTGTGGTAACACCATGGATTTGAAAACAGCCCATATTCTGGTCAACATTAAGGCCCACAATTAACATGATATATGATAAATTAATATCACCAGTTTTCAGCTAGTCTTATGGGATGTTGATTTTACTGAAATTTAATGCTAAGAGAGAAAATAACAACAAAAGATAGTATCAAATCAAATGGTGAAGAGCAGATATCCAACATCAGTATTCAATTAACTAGCAAAACATGTGAAAGAATTAGTAAAGAGAGAATAAATTAACAACATTTTTCCATGGTTCATTATTCTCTAAAGAAGAAAATAGATAATAGAAACATCCACTACATATGAACAATAACAAATACACACCCCGATGCAAGAAGAGAACCTGCTGGACTCCATGCACAAGCACATACCTAATGAAGAAAGGAAATGAGATCCAATGTCACACACAAAGATATGAAGAAACATACAGCATAGAAAGGGGGCAAAAGCCAAGTATAAGGTGGGTAATGCAGGAAAATAGGAGCATGCACAAACCTCATTAGTATGCCCCTCCAAAATTGTCACATCAGAACTAGGGATTTCAACATCTGTAAGAGGAATATCCATTGGTTCTGCTCCAACAAAAGAAAATAATGATTACTTGTACACTTAAGAAATTGACAGGAGAAAGATTATTTTGGATAGAACTGGAATTTTTCAACTGTATTAAAGGAGAGTTTTACATAGCATGCTTTGCCTTTTTACATATATGCCAAAAACTCTAACTCATCATACCTAAATGACTATGGAATGAAGCTAGTTAAACTTCCTTGCACAGATTCTCAAATGCCAAGAAATGCGCAAGGCACCACATTCCAAAACCAATTCTCACCTTGGCAGATCATGATATCATTACAAGAGAAAACAAGAAGTTAAAGCATTCTTCCTTTATTACTTTCAATTCATTAAAAATTAGAAAAAAAATTATATAAGAGTAGGTCACCGGCTAAGCGGATGTTTGTACATAAATAAAACTTTTCCTGCACCCTGGTAAGGTCCAAAAAATCAAGTGTCTACATCTTAGTTCTCATTTCTCATCAATCACAAAATAAAAGAACATAATCATTGAATGGATTTGTGGTTGCTAAAAAACTATGGCCATTCTGTGGCCTTAGTAATTGTATTCAGTACTCGTTTGGTACTGAGGTGCTTTTATAAAAAACGGGTATCAAAAAAAGCTGAGCTCAAAAAGATGTGTGGTAAACACTTAAATTCAGCATATTTTCACAATTTTGGATGAAAAAAAGCTGAAAACATGAAGCAGCAAAAATGAGCTTATTCTCACAGCACAGCAAAAGCAGTTTTTTTTCAAAGCATAGCAATACCAAACCAGCCCTCGGGCTAATAAAAGAATAAAGACCACAAAAGAGAAAATCATTCGCAGTAAAACTTGAATCTACCTCTAGAAGCTCCATTTTCTTCATGTTTCACATTAACTTTATCTTCCTGATCTCTAACCACATCTTTGTCATTGTGGTCCTCCGGCTGCTTTTCTCGCTCCTTGTTCTTTTCTATCCTCTCTCTATCCTTTTCAAAATCCTTCTCCCTTTCTTTTCTTTCTTTCTCTCTTACTTGTGCACGTTCTCCTTCATGTTCATTTTCATGCTCCTTGTCTTTATCTTTCTTCTCATAAGACTCATGCTCTTTATCTTTGTCTTTGTCCTTCTGTGCATTCTTCCTTTTCTCTTTGATCATTTGCCTCAATTGATTTACATCCTTTGTAATAAGATCTAAAGGTTGTAAAAATGAGAAATCTTCATCCAAATCTGCATCACTCTGGCAAGCTTAAAACAAAAGCTGGTTAACATATATTCTAAGATGTTCATTGTGCGTAAAGTTCTTGAACAAAAATTACTAGCTATTCAATAATCCATAAAAAGAACAAGAAGACTAACATTACTCAAGTTAGCTTCCATCTCCAAGTACTGAAGTCCTTTTTGTATAAATATAATGAGTGCACCAGGTGGAACCAAATTTCCATCTATAGTGCCTTTGTTAATACCGGCCTCATATCCTAAAGCAAAAGCTGAGTGCGTGAAACCTGCAGAAGCAACAAAACAGGAAACGTAGAGAAAAAGAATTGGGTTCATCAATACAATCTTTGATTGATTCAGAGGCTGCTTCACGTTTACTTTGATAACAAATCTAGATTGTGCAAACATGCAATTGGCTTGTGTACAAAAACCCATAAGATCACTCCACAACTCGGATTCTACTGCTTTTATATGACGTTAAATAATCTACTACTTGAAAAAAAACATCCAATAGCTTCGCATATTGATTGCGCATCAAATCCTAGTCAGATTCAAATCTTATAATATCATAATAAGTAGGTATATAAATAACATTCAGTTAAACATAAATTTTTTATTCAGGTTACGGCAAACCAAACTTAAAAAAAAATTGATTAGGAAAAATAAAGGGCGGTGCTATCCACACACCTCTTTTTACCTTCACACACTCCTCTCAATTTCCGGCAGTGGGAAAGAATGAATTGAAAAAGATCAAATGACATAATTTAACAAGGGTGTCTAGGAGGTATAAAAGGGTGTGGATAGCACCATCCAAAATAAAAGAGAAAACGGAAAGTACTGAACTTTCGAGCATTCCAGAAGATAACACAACAAAATTATACCCACTACTGTTTTAAGATCTATAATCTCATGCCCCCTCGACGTCCAATAAACAGGAAGCCAATTGAAAAATTATTCCCAAAAATTATAGTTCTGAACCCTAATTAAGTTATACTAGCAACCATGCAACACAAATTGATATATACAACCTTATAATTTGTACAGCACACTCAAATTCCCAGAAACCCTAGAATGTCAATGCAATTCAAAAGGGGAAATATAGGGCAAAAATAATCCGAAGAATCGATAAGATTGGGGGGTTGCGAAGTGTAGAATACCTGATTCCTGAAGGTAACGGAAGACGAGGAAATTCAACTCAACGGAGGTGATAGAGGTCATCGTCGCGGAAGTTGCCGGCTCCAATGGCTGTGATGAGAGACCCGCAAATCGTGCGGCCCAGTTTCAATGAGAGAGAGAGATTGCAATGGCAAACAGGCGGGAGTTATTTATCGGTTTTGCAGAGTTTGGAGGGACTTTGGAGACCGGAGCCAGGGAGAAGAAGGAAGGGCAGGGAAGCAAGGACCTTCCATTTTCCTTTTCTGAACGGAAGTTTTAACTGAACATTTCTGTATATCAATTTCAACGAAAATAATTGTTATACTTTAAAATATTATTCATACACTATTTACTTACAACATATTTTTATTTTCTTATTAGAACTCAAAATTAAATTCTTTTTATTAGTTTTTTTTTTTATTGAGATTTTCTCTTTGTTTTTATTTATTTATTTTTGTTTTCATTTTTAATGCTTTGGATAATGTAAAACCTTTTAACATGTCACTTGTATTCTTGGGTCCGACAACCAGTCACCGAGATTATGCCACGTGGCTTATTGGATCGGCTTGTGCGCAAGTTCACTGGGCATGAGCCCAGTCCATTCGCAGTCCATTGGGTAAAATTGACTAGGCCTCAGTCGGGTCTAATCGCTTTGCTTCTAATCGATTCATGGCCCATCCTACAAACCTCGCTACTTCCTTTTTTTTTGTTTTTTTTTTCTTTTTTGGTCCACTAGATTCTCACATATCACCAACTCATGTGAATCGTTTATTAGATAAATAATATACTCTTTAAATAAATATTTATTGAACGATGACACTATTGAGCTTAAAATTTTGTTACATGAGAGAATCTCTCAAGCAAGACGTAAGTGGTCCAAACTACCAAGCAATTATCATGAGGGGCCTTGGGTGCGTCCTGAGCGGGGTCAAGAGTGCGGATGAAGCTCAGGCAAGAATTATCTGGGCTTTGTGAAACCCATGTAATACAAGTAGATAAATACATTTAAACTAATACAGAAGTTGAAACCCAAAAAAAAAAAAACCTCAAAGATATGGTTGAGATAAACTAAAATCATGTGCTATAGGTAGATAAATAACATGAGTAATAAGGAGAAGCCTTCGTTAAAAGAAAAAAAATTAGGAGACCTACATTACATGTAGATGATCGATGAGGAGAAAAATTGAAGAAAACACATTAAAATTTTGATGAGTTAGGTAAAAAATCAAAAAGATGAGGAAGTTGTATATAATCCTTCCATTAAAAATGCTAATGGAAGTTTTCACTTAATACTACATTGTAGTGGTATTCATCTTCATTTGTAAGTAAAAGATCTTAAGTTCGATTTTCATCAAAGGCGAATTTGAACTACATTATTGCTACCCTATTATGAGGCTAAGTCCACCTATTCTCGTAGATAATATTGTTTGTTTTTAAAAAAAATGCTAATGGAAGACATTGAAGAATAAAATGGAAAACAAATAGAAAACTGAAAAATAGTAGGGAGGAGAGTACGATTCCTCAGAGAAAATTGTAGAGAATGATTGTTAATTCTGATAATTAATTTATCATTAATGAAAGATAATCCTCAAATTAAGAGATAGTATTAATTACCCAAGTAATTATTTAAGGAATAAATTTAAGATGTAGAGTCTTAATCATTGGACCTATTCAAGCAGGAATACAAAATTGGACTAATCATAATAAAGGTTTACCAAAATAGACTTAAATCATATAATGCCAAGAATATTAGAGGTTATAATATATAAATTATTTAGATATTTGTCGGTCCTTTCACGCTAAATATATAATAAATACTGTAAACATAGGAAATATATATATGAGGTAGGATCAGGGTCGCACATTTGTGTCAGACATTTTGACCCCTATTTTATAGGATTCACAGCGTAATGTGTTTTAACAATCTGAATCATCTATATTTTAGTATCCTTGCAAAAAAAAATTAGACAATCTAAAATCATTAAAACATTCATTTGTAGTGAAGAAAACAAACGAATACGATTCTCAAAGAAAAACTATGTTTAATTCAACAGTCATACGGTTTGTATTTGGATGATTTTTTATAGACATGATCTTTGAGTTAAGATATAAAAAATAAACAGGTAGATCATTTTATACATTACAGAGTGGATCCCGTGTCTCAAAAACCTATCACCCCGGATCCTAACCGTATATTTATTGGATATACACGTGATCACAACATTTCACACAAATATTGTATTGGTACTTACAAAAATGCAGGTCTTCACAATACATTTAAATAGCTAAATCCTAAACCAACTTTTCTCTTTAAAGCTTGTTTGATACTATTTAAGTTTTTGGGTTTTCAAGCGTGATAACGTTTTTGGTAACTACTTTTAGTCATAAAAAATGAAAATATATAAAAAAAAATCCTAAATTAAAAATGGAAAGCTAAATTTTGAAAACTCACAGAAGTTTTCAATTTCAATGTTAAAAAAAATTTAAAAAAAAAAAAGCCACTAATAGCGAAATAATCATCTAGCAGCCTTTAGTACAAAACTAATTTGTAGGGTTTTCGTTTTGGGTTAATACTTGATTAGGAGTAGGTGTACAGGGTTAGCTGGCCTAATCCAATGTTAGGTTCTTTCTCCTGTCGTCTTCAGCATTTTTTATTTCCTTCGTTTGATGTGACCTTCACCTTAAGCGTTTAACTTTGACAATGAGATTGGTGGAAATGGATAAGAGCAACACAATAAGGGTTAACTTGTTAAATTTAACAACTTACATATAATAAAATCAAAACGGTGCAAATGGATAAGAATGATACAAGAAGGTTGTATTCGTGTGAAATTAAAAACAAACAAAAAAACAAAAATCATTGAGGAGAGAAAAACTTGTAGGCGGGGATGCCTAAAAATTTGTGTGCAGAAAAGAGTCTTGAAGGGTGGAACCGCATGCCATACAAGGGAAGACGAAAGTAACACTAAATTTGCTAATTTATACCGCATTCCCTTCATTAGAAACATGAGAATAATGAAAAACCATGTGCTGTAAAAGGAAAATATAATTTTTTTCAACTAATCCGAAGTTGCCAAGGAGGAGAAAAAGAGCCAGAAGAAAAGCTGGAGATCATACTGAAGAGTCACTTTCGATGCACATATATCGCCAACCCCGAGTGTGGGCTAACTCTACCGTATGACCCGAGTTGCCCTTAGCAAGCTTAGGCCATCTCCAACCGATCCGGCCAGAGTGTCACATCCCGGCCCTGGGCGGATCACTTTTCGGCCCCGCTCCACCACCGTAGCACGATGTTGTCCGTTTTGGGGCCCGATCACACCCTCAAGGTTTTGCTTCTGGGAACTCACACGAGAACTTCCCAGTGGGTCATCCATCATGGGATTGCTCTAGCCCTCTTCTCGCTTAACTTCGAAGTTCCTACGAAACTCGAAGTCAGTGAGCTCCCAAAAGGCCCCGAGCTAGGTAGGGATGAGAATATACATATAAGGATCACACTTCTGGGCAATGTGGGATGTCACAATCCACCCCCCTTAGGGGCCCGACGTCCTCGTTGGCACACCACGGCCAGGGTTAGACTCTGATACCAAATTGTCACATCTCGGCCCGGGAATCACTTCCCAAGCCCGCTCTACCACCGTAGCACGATATTGTCTTCTTTGGGCCCCGACCACGCCCTCACAATTTTGTTTCTAGGAACTCACACAAGAACTTCCCAGTGGGTCACCCATCTTGGGATTGCTCTAGCCCCCTTCTCGCTTAATTTCGGAGTTCCTACGGAATCCGAAGCCAGTGAGCTTCCAAAAGGCCTCGAGCTAGGTAGGAATGAGAATATACATATAAGGATCACACCCTTGGGCGATGTGGGATGTCAAACAGAGGGTCGAAAATAGTTCGAAATGACACAAAAATCATCTCCAATAGACAGCTAGGCATGACCCATTGGGAGTGCTCTCGTGTGAGTTCCCAGAAACAAAACCGTGAGGGCGTGGTCAGGTCCCAAAGAGGACAATATCATGCTACGGTGGTGAAGCGGGCCAGGGAAGTGGTCCGGTCCGGGCCGAGATGTGACAATTTGGTATCAGAGCACAATCAGGGCAACCGGCTAGCCCGAACCAGCCAACCAGCTAGCCTCGAGCCGGTCTACAATTCAAGCTTAGCAGCTACCTGGCATCAACATGATGCCAGGTAGCCGTTGGATTTTATTTTATTTTGTTTTGTTTACAAATTTAAAAAAAAATCTAATTTTTTTCCTATAATTACCTAAGCCATTAAACAATATTAAAAATATTAAATAACATTAAACTTAAACAATATTTAAAAAAATATTTAATAGCATAAAACTTGGCCCAAAGATGTGCAATAAGATCCTGTTGTAGGTACTTATTTGTGGCATGCGAACGTATCATCCTATAGCACCTCATGTACTCGTTTAAAGAGATATTATCATTTCTTGGGTCAAAAGGCAAATTAGGCCCCTCATATATTTTTGCACGAGCCCTTCTTTACCTATTTGGATCATCTTAGTCGTCATCATATTCTCCACAATCATGTTAATAGGTAATATGATGCATGACATCATGATAGAGTTCAATTTATCTCGACTTCACCCTCTTGCCGGTTCTATGACGTTCTTTCACCGTGCTTGTAGAATACTGAAAGCTCTCTCAACGTCTTTCTAGTATGCATCTTGGTGTAAGGTAAACCACCTTTGAGCGTCATCCACAAGGTTTGGAATTGCTTGGACAAGTGTTGCCCACTTTAGGTAGATGTCATATGCCAAGTAATACCCCATATTATACTGACAACCATTGATGTAGTAGTCAAGATGAGGTGATTTATCCTCCATCAGGCTATTAACACCCAAGAACTGTAATGTCATTTTGGGATCCTGAGACTCGAAAGAAAACATGTTAGATCTATGTGTCAAACAAGGTAACCGCCTCTAACACAATAGTTGGCTTTGTCGATCTTCCGCTAAAGCCTTCTTGTCATTCGGTGAAAAACCTAGACGACTTGCTTTGTCCAGCTTCTCTTGAAAGTATGGATTGACATATTGGACATCATGAAGTAAACGCTCGAAGACACTACGCCTCATCCGGAAGCGATGTCTAAAATTTTCTTCTCTGTACACCGAGTTGGGGTTGAAGTAGTTGTTCATCAGATTGTCATGCACCATCTCTCTGTTTCGTGGTTTGTAAGAGCGACCAGCAACAGAGCCACCCTATTGAGGTTGTTCCTCATTAGGCTCACACGCCATGACCCCAGCCATGGCTGCCATATATGATGTGTTGCACCATACTTCGTCTTTTTCATCGGACTCCTCATCTTCTCATCTCATCTGCGCCCATTTTTCTTCCAATTTGGAATTGGATGACGACCCCCAGTTGGAATCCGAAAAGGATCCAAAATTGGAATTCATTGCAAACTTGAATTAAAAGGTATTGAATTGAAAGAGATATTAAGATTCCATATCGACAAGAAATCTGCAAAATTGGACATATATCGACACGTGACACTCGAAATTTGAGACTTAAAATTATTGAGATTCCATCCCGAAAATTTAATAAGGTGGTTTAATTTTAGTAACCATATTAATTCAATTAAAATAAGAAATTATGTTTGACGTATGGCCCTTTGGCTCTCTCGGTTGGAGATGGATTTTTTGTCATAGGACTATGTTTGGCCTATAGCTCTTTGGCCCTCGGTTGGAGATGATAAGAAATATGGCATGTCACTGTTCATTAAAATATTAATTTCTTGGAGGGCTATAGGGCTAAAAGGAATCCTCTGGCCCTCATTCGGTTGGAGATGGCCTTATCTGTATCCACTTCACCCTACGACAATTTTGAAACAAAATATGGAGAATAAATTTTGAAACAAAAAATATGTGTGTTCAATCAAACTTTAAGAGAGTTAATAAAATCTAAAAAAAAAAAAACCATAGTCAATCAGAATTTAAAAGGGTTTATAGTAATCCAAACACATTCACTTCTTATTCGATGATTTTTTTTTTTGAACAAATGATATTATCTATACTAAGAGGTAAACAATGGGCTAGCAATAATTAGTTCAAATTCACGTTGGCGAGAATCAAATCTAAGACCTGTCCCTTATAAGTAAAGAGAAATATCATTAGACCATAGTACTAAAAATGAATGATTTTGATAAATTTGTCGGGATTCCATTGTGTTGTTTCCTATATGGGTAGGTGTTCTCGAATACCCTTTATACTGTTGTTTCCTATGTTTAATGAATTTTTTGTGTATGAATGTCCATCAAAACATTATCAAACTTCACAAATTTATAACCCTATTAAACTATTTTTTAAATCTTAATTGAATAAATCTCGTTAGGTTGGTTCTCCTGTCCCATTCTTTTTTCTTGGTTTCATGTCGCTGTCGCCGTAATTTTTAAATATATCCACTTAACTGTGGAAGGGATAAGAACAAGGCACAAGTCCTTCAGCCAAAAGAGAAAAATAGATCCAAAACTTGGTGCTAGAATTAAAAATAAAAGATCCATTACGAACATTGCAGAGAAAATTACATGGGACGGCAATCCACTTCTTGAACATGATCACCATTACATGTAACATAGTGATCTTCTCCGTAATTAATTACAAAATTACATTAACAAAGGATAATTAATTAAGTAGGTAATTAAGGATCTAAATCCATGGCGTCATCGTCATCGTTCCTGGGAGTCCAATCATTTGTTGCAGGGTTGCTTTTGATCTTCGATCCCACTCTCGCATGACTTTCAGGTAGATGAAGATGGAGCCCATCAGCTTCACTGCCCTCTTCTCTCACCGCTCTTATGAACCCAGTTCCGGTCTGAACAATTTAATCCAATTCAAATCAAAACCAAACCAAATTAAATTCATGAACCCATCAAACCAAAGGATATATTAACTCAAAAAGTAAGAGAAAAATTGAATAAAATTATCAGAAATTAAATTCCAATATTTACAACATATATACCGATCAGATATAGATGATTTGAAAATAACGAATCATTTCAGAATTTCCCAAAAAAGTAAAGAGATATTACCGTGTGATGCTGTTTGTCGATGGAATTGAGTTCCTTGTAGTACTCTGTATCCACAAACTCATCTTCCACCGTGGGATCTCCCTGCGCTGAGAATATAACAGCATCGGATTGGGACTCGAGAGAACGAAATTTGTCCAGCTCAGGAATGGTGGGTTGTTGATCGACGACGAAGTAGGGAACCGGGTTTGAATCGGGGTCGCTCCGGCTCGGCTTGATGGGTCGCTTTGGGGCGGCAGAATCGAACTGGGCCCTTACCTGCTCGGCGATCTTGAGCTGTTCATCGGGTGACAACACCTCGTCGCTCCGGCTCGGCTTTACCGGCTTCATCTGCCCCACCACCATCAAAGGTTTGATCTTTCTTCCGTTTTGGTTTGGGTTTGCTGTGGATCCATATTGTGAAACGGGGATTCGAACAGAAGACATCGGATGCAGACGTAAACGCTCTTAAACGACTTGGGTTGCAGGTAGTTTGCTTTTTGTTTCGATTTTGGATGGGCTCTGTATGCGTTTATATATGGCAATTGAAGGAGAATGACAATAAATTTTTTTGTGTTTCATAATTCAAGGTGCGCCACTTGTATTAGTTTATGTTCAGAATACATTAAAAAAATTCATAAAAATGACAAGGGACGAGGAAATTGGGATGAAGGTGAAACCGTGGGCTAATCAAATTACTGGAAAGTATGAAACCGCTTTGCTGAGAGTGTGAGCAGTTTTTGTGGAGGAATGATTGGTGTGTAGGTTCTGACTCTGATTGGGCCTGGAAAAGGGCTTTTCATCATTGTGCGTAGGGGTGGGTTCAAAAAACCGAAAACCGAAAAAAACCGACAACCGAACCGGACCGAAGCCGAAAAAAATCGAACCGAAAAAAAAACCGAACCGAAATTGTCAAACCGAACCGAACCGAATCTGACCGGTTCGGTTTCGGTTTTTGAGTCTCGGAAACCGAACCGAACCGAACTGATATATATATATAATTTTTTTGAATATTTATAAATAGTTTAGTCATACAATCATAACAAAACAGAACTTGTTGCCAAGTTGGTTTCAGTGAAAGTTTACAAGCATGGAGGCATGGGTTCGAACCCTCATGCCTCCAGGATTTGTGAGATGTTTTTAAATTTTTTAATCTTTTTATTGTAACCCTAACAGGCTAACCCTCCTCCTTATTTTTCATTCCCCTTCCCTGCCTCTCTTCCCTCTCCTCTCTAGACTCCAACCCATCTCTCTCTCCCTCCCTCTCTCTCGCTCTCCGTCGGTGAGAAGCAGTTGCATCCATGGCGCAGTACAGCAAGGTGGCCCCAACCCCTCTGCTGAAAGACGAGCTCGACATCGTCATCCCCACCATCCGAAACCTCATCAATCCTCGAGATGTGGAGGCCCTTCTTCCAGCAGTACCACCTCATCATCGTCCAGTACCACCTCATCATCGTCCAGCAGTACCACCATCGACGACGATTGCTTTGTAAGTATCGCTTTTGGGTTTCGAAAACTTGGGATCTTAATTGGGGCTGTTTTGGATGTGGGATTTGATTTTTGAGTTGAAAAGGTTGGATCTTGGTGGGTTTTGGGAAGTGGGTTTTGTTGGGGTTTTCGAAATCTTGTTGTTCAATTGAATTTCGATTCGACTCGAATTGATTAGTTTGTGATGAAATTCTGTTGCTTTTGTTGTTTAGATCTGTTTCTGCTGCTAATGTTTGACTTACCCTCATCTGTTTCTGCCTCTCTTCCCTCCCTCTCCTGTTGGGTCGATGCAGGCAGACTTGTGGAAAGACCCACCTCCGTTATGCCATTGTTGGAATTCTGGATGAACGGCCGGAGCACCGTCCTCTGATCATGAAATACAGAGCAGGTGCAGAAATGGTTAGTGACAACTGACAAAACAGATTTTCGATATCTTGCAATTTCTGTGGCTATTAGAACTTGCTTTCAATTGGGTATAGCTCAGATTTTCGATATCTTGCAATTTCTGGGATATTATTGCATTTTCGGAGATATTGAGGTTTGTTCCTTGATGAGCTCTCAGTGCGTGTAGGTTGCTAACTTGCTGTTAGTATTGGGTAGAGTTTAGATTTTCTGCATCAAAAATGGTTTCTTGATTTTTGAGGAATTTGGCTCCCCAGTTGGTTGTTGCTGCAGAAGCTGAGGTTTTTTCTGTATTTGGGACTTGTTTCATGTTTTGAATAGATTTTCTTGGGAGAGATAGAGAGTAACAATGATTGCCCGAGGATGGATTGTAACAATGATTTACAATGATTGCCCGAAGTAGGAAATTCTTGCTGTGTAAGACACATCTAGAAGTATGTTCTGAGGCTTAATGTCGCAAGTATGTTTTGAGGTTTTTTCATGTGGATGACTTTGAAGAAGTGGCTTTGAATGTGAACTTTCATATTTCCATTTTTTTTTAATAATTTTGGAGGGAGAAAAAAAAAAAAAAAAACCGAAAAAAACCGAAACCGAACCGAAAAAAACCGAACCGAAAAAAAAACCGAACCGAAAAAAACCGAAAAAAAATTGAACCGAACCGAAATTTCGGTTCGGTTTCGGTTTTGAGAAAAAACCGAACCGATTAGAACCGAACCCAGCCCTAATTGTGCGGCTAAGACCTGGTACTGAGGTAATTCTGAAAAAAATTGCTATAAAAAAAAGTTAGGAGTTGTTTTTGTGTTTGGTAAATACTCAGCTTCAGCTTTTTTCACAGTTTTGGATGAAAAAAAACAAAAAACAAGAAGCTGCAAAACCCAGCTTTGAAAAACCGTTTTTTTCACATCTGTTTTACATAAAAGTTTACCAAACACTCTAATACTGCTTTTTTTTTTTTTTTTCAAAAGCACTTTTACAAAAAAATTTACCAAACACTCTGCTGCTTTATTTCACAGCTGCTTATTCTCACAACACAGCATAAGCAACTTTTTTTTCAAAGCACAGCAATACCAAACCAGCCCTAAAGTTGCTCGCTTTAATACTTTCAAAAGTAAGTTTACAGCCACTTAAAGTGCATCTCAAAAAAAAAAAGGTTAAAATTTTCAAATTATCAGTAACAGTAATAAAAAAAAAGCATTAATGTTTTCTAATCAAGAAGTCAAATCTGATATGGCATGACATGGATTGACATCTCTCTTTCTTACTGTCAAATTTAACAGCACCTTCAGATTTTTTTAATTAATTATTAAATGCTTTTTATTAGTTTTTTATTAGTTTAAACCATTATCCTTTTGTTTCTTTTCATTCCCAATGAAAAAAAAAATACATATAAATTATTATTTTATGTTTAAAATTTAACATATCGGTTGGAGATCAAAAGCTTAAAAAAATGCCAAATGCCACGTAAGCCTTCAAAATTTTAGGTTTAAAATTTGACATCTCCTTTGGAGATGGTCTAATACTACGAGCAAGTGATAATCGTTTTTAAATGTCTTAGTTCGATTATTGTCAAACACAAATTCAAACCAAATAATTATGAGTTGTTAATTGTTAAATTTAATTCACTATCTGCCCCTTAGTGTAAATAAATACCCTATGTATTTAAAAAAAAGTAGAAATACTAAACTTAATCCTGAATTTTGAAAACTAATCTAAACTATGTGTGGAAGGTGATTTGAATTTGATTGTAAATTAACATTTGCCGTAACCAATGTGACTAAGGCATGGTTTGGTATTGAGGTGATTCTGAAAAAAGCTGATATCAAAAAAAGCTGGGAGCTGTTTTTGTGTTTGGTAAACATTCAGCTTCAGCTTTTTTTCACAGTTTTGGGTGAAAAAAAGCCAAAAACAAGAAGCTGCAAAACCCAGCTTTGAAAAACTGGCTTTTTTTCACATCTGTTTTACATAAAAGTTTACTAAACACTATAATACTGTTTTTTTTTCAAAAGCACTTTTACAAAAAGGTTTATCAAACACTCTGCTGCTTTATTTCACAGCTGCTTATTCTCACAGCACAGCAGAAACAACTTTTTTTCAAAACACAGCAATACCAAACCAGCCCTAAGCCCATTTAAAGATTTAGCTTTCATACCTGCTATGTTCTTTTTTCTCCTTTTATTTGTCACCTTATGAAGTTGGCATTACCCAATTTCAGCATTTGCCTCTTCTTCTTCTAGTAGCTTCCCTCTCAAGGAGGATGATGCGCCCAGAACAGCTGATGGCCATTGAAATCCATTTTTCAGGTAAGTATTTTCCCATTCAATTCTTTTTGTGCTAATTTCAGATGATGAAGTTATAAACCGGATTAAGTTGGGTGCTACGTTGGTTTGACATTAGTATATCTTCATTTACGAGCATTTTCACAACCTCGTTGGATAACCATTTCATTTTTAGTTTTTAGTTTTCATTTTTGTGTTCGCTTCTAATTTATTATTTATTCAGGTAGGGTCATAATATTGTAGGAAATGTAGTCCACCACCACTTTTTCTGTTCTTAGTCTTCATACTTCCATAATTTCCACGGTCACTCAGATAGGAACTCCATAGGCTAAAACTCCATCAAATTTTCATGGAAAATCTTCGTGCCGGTAAAACCCGTATCCCTCTATTTTCTGTGCTTATTTTTCTCCTCCACTTTTCCCTTGAGCTTATGAGCTCCTAGATAAGTACTTAATCAATAGTGTGTCAAATGCTAATGCAACCTCAATAACCAAGTGTTCACTGCAGATGATTTCTTCTACTCAAAGGCCAGCAGCTTTGTCAATGGCGGCAACCAGTTGCCAGCTACATTATCGAATGATTTGAATCTTTACCATACAACAACAATTTTCAGGTAACAATCCTACTAGGAGCTCAACATCACTGAAAACGGTACTTATTTTGTACGCCTGCATTTCTTGGCTTTCGCCTCTTCCTCAAGTAATCTATCCTTTGCTTTTTATTATGTTTCGGCTTCTCCTGATATTTGAATTCTGCATTCATGCTGTTGAACAATTTCATTGCTAAGAATAGTAGCAGCAATTCTATGATAAAGGAGTTTTTCTTGGCATTGATCCTGGCTCATTTAGAATATACTTTACGCCTCATGGATCGTCTTTTGCATTTGCAAATGCCATCGAAGTCTTCCTTGCCCCTGCAAACTTCAGCCTTGAGAATTATGATGAGTCCATATTATACCATATATTTTACCCTAATCTTAGTATTAATTTATTGGTTATTTTAGTAGAATTTTGATACTTTGTTATATATTTTCAATGTAGGACATTCAACTTCATCTAGAGCAAAAAATATTCAAACATATGAATTTTGGAGTGACTCCAATTGAAGGATGTTCGTGTGTCTTTCAAGGTGATTGTATCAAAATTCTAGATTTTTCTACCAAGTCGTTTGACCATGGC